CTGTATGTCAGTGGAGCTCAATTCAGAATTGTTTTCTTTGGCTAGAATCAGCAGGGCATCAAGCACATCATGGCTTGCCTTGGATGCAACCGAAGAAGAACGTAGTCGTGTCCTCTCGTTGATGATACTATCAAAAATTTTAGTTAATCTTTTCAAATAATTACTCGTCTTTCGTCTTATACCTTGTGGATCTACTAATCGAAGTATTGGGAAATAGTCGGCAATATTTGGCTTGCCAATTTGTTCCATGACACCCACCACAAGATCGCTGAACTCTTGAGACAAATCAGAATTGTAAGTGGTTACATCAAGAGAGAAGAAGGTGTTTGAAATTAAATTAAGGGAAGTTGTGAAAACAGATCGACGAATGTCAACAGCGCGTCCGTTGTCGCAATTTTCATGAACATATTCTAGCATTTCTTGAACCTTCTTTCCACGGAGGGCTCGGCTGGCATCAAGCCTTTGCGAAGTGAACATTTGGGTGGCAGTGAGTTTTTTGAGAAATTTCCAATGAGTCGATGCAGGCAACCATATTATTGAATTTTTGTGGTGTACACGAAGAGCATCTGGGACTGTTCTGCTGGACAAGGCTTGGTCATGTTTCTGTAATGCTTCTTTGGCAATATTCGGAGAGGAGATGACTATTGTGGTTATCCTACCAAGCTTGAGGGTCATTAAAGGTCCATAAGTTTGTGAGAGGTTAGCAAGTGTTCGGTGGGGCTTGTCACCGAGGGCTAATATGTTTCCAATTATCGGCAATTGGCGAGGGCCAGGTGGGAGGACGGTGCAACGGGACTTCCGGCGAAGTAGAATGGATGCGATGGGCACGTGTAGACATGCCCAAGTAAAAGAAATTAGTAGCGCAAAAAAAAAGGTACTCCATTGGTTGATATTTTCTTATGGCCTCTCTCGATCAACTCTCTACAATGTGCTAGAGGCATGCATATATAGGTTTTTTTTCTTTTGAGTTTGAAATGGATTTATTAAAAACTTTAGGATGTTTTTGTGGTAAATATAAATTCAAAATTAAAATTTTAAAATTTTAAAATGACTTTTCAACTATTTAGAGGTGGTTGAAAAGTAGTTGAAAAGTAAAAAAAATATTAGACAAATAATAGCATGTGAGTTTTATAGATATCCACTAGTGTAGGTGGCCTGTGCTATGCAACGAATTAATTTTTTTATCATAAAAAATATAAAACAATACTAATATTTAAGAGTGTTAAATTTATCTGTAAAGCTAGACCCAAGAGCCTTGAGTTTGGTTGCAACGTCTCACCCCAGTGTAATATTTATAATATTAATTATAATACAAATAATAATATTTATAATATTAATAATAATATTAAACTTGTTACCTGATGAAATGTTATTTTAACTCCTATTTTTTTATTCATGGTTGCATTCAGTTATTCTCTCGATCAATTTTATCATAAACCATCGTTGTTTTCTATGATTAATACTTATATATTTATTTTAGGTGTAAATACATTAAAAAAAAATAGTGAGTTCGATCAATATTAATTGGCCAGAAGAATTATATTTTTTTTTGGTAATAACTGAAAGTTTTATTAAAAAAATAGCTACAAAGATAATAGCCTAACTTACATTAGATGAACAAGCAAAGGAAAGGAAAACATAAAAGCTGTTGCAACTTTGAAACAGGGGAGCACAACAATTGAGGGGCAAAAAAAAAAACATGAGAAACC